CCCATAACACACACGGCAGGTCGAGGGGAGACAGGTCTCTCTCATTCTCAATGTCTACACAACTGGTGTGTGTTCGGCAAGCGTACTTGGGCATACCTGTGCATGCCAGCCTCTGCTCCATCAGAAATTATGTAGTTGGTGATCCTGAAGAGTATTGTGTAGGTCATTCTCAAACAATCATATTGGAAAATTACTAAAAACGTTTTTTTTTAATGTTTCTGCAACTACTAAGGTACACAGGTTAAAGAAACTTTTCTATGTCATGCTGCAATACTGCAGCAATAGAAACTCAGTCAACTTCTAGCTTTATGAATTTCTTCGAGGCTTAACCAAAAGGATTTTGTTCTGCAAAGAACTGTTATGTAAAAGCTACCTAGTGTGCTTGGATTGCTTTTGGGAGGGCACAATAATTGATAATAATGACCTGAACATGTCTAGGCAGTGACTGATGTAGCAATCTGGATTTTAGCCCTTGAACAGCCTCTATTATACGTAGTAACCTTTGCCAATCCTGCTGATAGATGAAAGTCATTGTCAATTAAAAAAAAATAAATAATTGCAGCTTTCTCAAAAGCTCAGGCAAAATAGTAGCAAAAAGCAAAATGGAAGGATCTGCTTTGGCCGTTATTCACAGTTTAGCTTTAATTGGCTTGCAAGAATGGAGAAATGGTGTTTAAGTGTAATCATTAGCATAGCGTTCCCAAACAATAAGCTTAGTGATTACTGTTTGTTTTCTTTACTTGTGTGGCCTATGGCATGACAGTTATAATGTTAACGGAGGATCCATCTGTAATTCTCTGGGAGACCCAAAATGGTTTAATCTGAATCGTTATTCATGAGGTCTGTGTGAGTTGCTTCTGGTCCGCATTGAGCGGGTGATTATATATGGTCTTGGCTGCTAGCATTTACAGCTATGAAATTATATTTGAAAGAAGTCAAGAATACTGGATATTACTCTTTAGTCTTTAATATTTGACAGTTACAGCAGTTCAAAGTTTAATAGATAACATCTTCTTTGTGGTAATAATTACATGAAGGGAGGCAGTGTACAGAAATTATGCGAAAAAGATTGTTCAAGATACTGTGAAGATACAAAACGTGAAATAATATGACACTTTTAAAGTCAGATACCTTGTTTTGTCAACATTTAAAAAAGGCTTGCAAGGCTCTTCCTTTAGTGCTTTCAAATGCAAATCTCTAATGTTACTTCACCTTTAAAATTTTGCTTAGAAAGAAACTTGTCCTTTCAGTACAAAGTTTTGCAGTAGTACTTTAGGAGAAACACAGTATTTGGAAATTGGTGTTTTAGTAGCATAATGCTTGTAAAAAGTGCAAGACATGTCTCTACATATACGCATACTAAACAACATGTGTAAGTAACATTGGTAGAATAAAAGGAAATGTCAGCAAATTTTACAATTCTGACTGAAAATACTGGCCTGTCCTGAACTAGCTTTGTAAATCTCTTACTTGCCCTATTGCTTGAGAGGAATAAGTCTCTTGGCACACTTGATGTGCTACCGCAATGAAGGAAGAACATAACCAATTTACATACGTTGTCAAACTTATAAAAGAAAAAGGCAGGATTTATGGGTTGATGCTTTAATAACCAGATATACTTAGTTTTTCACAAAAAATGCTAGAAAAGCATCAAAAACTTAATATGGAAAGGTAATACGGGGCTTTCAGTCAGTGTTGCAGGAGGAAGGAGGTGCTGGTACAGTCTGAGGGCTGCTGCCCTCTTCCAGCTTCTGCAAAAGCAACAAAACTGCCTCCATTCATCTCAGGTGGTTTTTTTTCCCTCCAGCTTCTCTTTTACTGCCAAGAAGGAGGAGGCATGGAAACTCACTGTATTGTCTTTGCTCTGTATCACTGATCCACTCCTACTTGATATAAAAATGTATGCATTGTTAGTCCACCCATATATATCGCAGCTAACGATGCTTGTGAACGGTTAGCCAACCTAGTAAGGAGCCACCACGTACTATAGCATGGCTGGATCCATGCGGAAGGGGCTTGTGGCCGGTGACATCAGGGCTCGTAAGATGCACCATGAATTTGATAGTGGTGGTACATGGAGGGGGAAGGTGGAAAGGTGAAAAGGCCCTGTTCGGATTTCTTAAGGGTAAGGTTTCCTCCCCATGGTCCAGGGGAAGAAGCTTGATACAGCCCAGATGCTAACAAGCCTTCGTGATGCTGTCAGGTCCTCTCAGCATCAGTCTGCTTCACCCAGCATTACTTTGCTGCGGGGGGAAACACTGAATGTGGGCCATTAGAGGAGCGTGAGATGGAGCAAGACAGTACAGCATCTGTTTTTGTTCTATGCATGTTCTAAGAGATTTTAACTTTACGTTTTTGTGGATCTGCTGGAACGATGTCCCATGAATGCATTTACTAGTCGGTGGTTTCTTGCTGCAGGAAGAACTGCTTTGCTGCCAGGTGAGAATTCAGTGGGAAATTTGGTTCTCCAGAAGTCATTGAAAAACAAAAAAATCAAAATTTTATTTTCAATTTAAAATTATTTCTGTATTTCTGTTTAGGAGCAGTAAGTGAGGGTGCAGAAAGCTCAAATAAAACTTCATTGTCTGCTGTTATGTACTGCTTTACAGCGTTGCATCTCTTGTGATTAGGTGTGGTGGCAAAATTAATCTACAATGACTGATGTGGTTACTACCTACAGCTTTAGTTAATCATTTCTGTCTTTCTTCTGTGGCAGGGACAACTGTGTGGGAAGTGTACCAAGTGCTTCAGTTCATTGCCTATCATACTCTGCTGTCCCTCTTGTAGGGCAGTAATTTTGTGAGACAGGGTGGATAAATACCGTGTGAAGTACTTAAATCACAAGAGGCCTTTGGTTTCCCCTCAAGATACCAGTTTTGCAAATCATTGCCAGATAAATTCCCTATTCTGAAGATAAGATCTTGTTTCTTTTATTCTATTTTTGCCTTTTATACTGATGTAAGTTTTAGACCCTTCCTCTCCTCAGTGCGACTTGTATTCTCCTTTAGTTATCATTTAGCTGAGCCACTGATACTGCTCTCTTAAGAGAAGTCTTAAGATTAAACAGGATGCAAGATTTACTTTGAGGTACTGAGGTTTTATTAATGCAGTACAGATGTATTCTAGGAACAGTCTGAGTTGTGGGCAGCTGACAAGCATATTTTTTTAAGCATCCTCATGAAAATTTTCTACCAGATGTTAGTGTAAACTTGTATGTTTGTTCACTTGCGGCTTATCATTGAGTTTTCTTTGCCATTGATCTGGAATGTTTCCTTTTGAAGATATTTCTCAGGTTATCCCTATATCCATTAATTTTTATCTTCCTAGTAATACTCATTTTCATTAGAATTTAAAAAAACCCACAAACAGAAACCCACCATCAGAAAACTTTGTGCTGCTGCTCTATATTCAGATGCTTTTTTAGTGTGTCACTGAATATTTGGATTGAGTGTCTTGTACTCACTTGGTTTCCCTTATTGATAAACAAAAATCAGACAGTGGCATGGTCACATTAGACTGACGTTGTTGCTGCTGATATGCTTAGCTCTTAGTCTTGGTTCAGTCAGTATGTGTATACATGGAGGAGCTGTACTGTTTTCTTAGAGCTAAAGGTAACGTACAACATGCAGTAAGTGCCGCTTGCAGATGTGTGCAGTACGTGCTACTAGACCAATGTGTTGGAAGCCTTCCTGCCCCTCCTGCAGTTCGGTAGCTGCATGGGTATAGGAGACACAGTCTTGTATTAAGAGCCATTGCAATGTTTGCATGCTGAAACTGCCATGCAAATGCCATATATAATCTGCAAATAGATACTTTTGCAACAGCTCCAGGGGCTAAAGCAAAATCTGAGAGGAGAGTTTTTGCCCGTGTGGACCTTTTAGGATTAGATCTTCCAGGATTCTGCCTGTTCATGAAATTTAACATTTACTTCCACCCAAAGAAGTAACTCTTCCAACTAAACGTGCCAGTGTAAGAACTGTTGTCCTTTTAGTCGCCCACTGACTGCAGTTACTGTAGGCAGGGTGTTGTTTCTATGCTACACTGGACTGCTGCCTTCTTAGAGTAACTTCAGGGGCACTGAAAGTTTAGTTTGTTTTCCGTTTTTGTTTCTTTGTTTGCTTCTTTGTTTAAAGGGGGAATTAATTAGCAACAGTGTATTGAAAGCAGTGTTTTCTCATTTCCTGAGCATTGTATTTTGTTGTATATATTACAGACCTTTTGCTGAGCTGACAATCAGATATGTGGTGATTGACTTGAGTTTCGAACATCTGAAATTAAAAACATAATACTTGAATGCATAACTGTGTTCATTATGAGATGACTAGGATAGTGGTGGCCACACTTTTCAGCAGTCATGTTTGTGTCATCCATCAGACTCAAAGATATACTAGTAGACTAGATAATATATTAATTACAGTTGCTATATTCAGATGCCTAGATCTACATGTGAATTAAATCTGACTCAAATTCTTCCACCAAACTTACTTGGATTAAAGTAGTGTGTAGAGATGCTGCTCCTTTTGTCACTGCGAGGCCAGCCAAGCAGTGGAAGAGGCTCCCAGGGCAGCTGGGGAGGTTCCTTCTGTGGAGGTCTTCCAAGACACATCTAGATAAAGACCTGAGCAATCTGCTCTGAGCTAGGAGCTGACTGTGCTTTGAGCAGGAGTTGGACTAGAGGCCTCCTGAGGCCCCTTCCAACCTGAATTATTCTGTGATCCTGGATTAGGACCTGGTGATGCTAAGTGTTATGCAGAAGGGTGTTATGCTGTCCATAATCCCCTGTCCTAAGGTTGTCCTGGCAGCTAAAAATCTTTCCTAAAGTAATACCCACAGAAGTAATTTCGGTTGATGTTAAGCTACCAGTGCCTGTTTTCTTTATCTGAGACAGATCTGCCTTTTTCTTTTGCAAGCCTTTTCCTGTCAATTTTGCTAAATGCTATTTTAGATTCATAATGTTGATAAGCTTTCACTCGGATTCTCAGTAATTGTGAAACAATGCATACTGTAAGTAGGTATGGAAATGTGTGCACAGAAAAGAATAAAAGCAAAGCTAGTACCTGGAGGATGCATTAGTCTAATAGGGCCAAAACTGTCTACAGGTGCAGCAGAGGTTTAAAAGAGATTCAAGCAGGAATTGTCCTTTGAAGGTGAGCTGGGTTAATGAAAGCAAGATGGTTTCTTAAATAATGTTACTGGGTCTTGGCAATAAAGATTCAGATGGGGTAGTGTGCAGGACAGGTGAGCAGAAATAAGTGACTTATCACATCACTGCAGAAATTTGAAGACTATTGCAATCCTGAAAGAAGGGAACATTTTAGAAGGTAGGTTTCATAGAAGACTGAAAAAGGAGAGGGGAAGAAACATCAAGGCATTTAAAATAGTACTGGGGCTGAGTAAACGTAATGCTTAAAGTTTGTAGAGACTCTAATTTTGAAACTGAGAACAAGACTGCCAGAAAACCCTAACTTAATTTTGGAGGTGGTTTTGGGGATTTACCAGACTGCAGAACATTAATTGCTTCAAATTGCAGAAGAAAAAGACATAAATTTCTTAATGATGGGCGATACCAATTTTGGTGATCTTGATGTGCAGGATTGTGATATCCTTGCATTGTCATTACAGCGAACTGCAGACCCTTTGGAAAATTGAAAAGCAAAGTTAAATCTCCCAACAAAGAGTCTGCAAAATGCAGACAAAGCAAATTTATGTGAAAGTTGGCACATGGAAGGCTAATGTTAGAATGCTACTCCTTCTTTGGGCAGAGCTGCTGTGTAAGAAGTGAAACTGTTTTACAGAAGCCATTCAAAAGGGACCAGAAGTGCTTTTAAATAAAGCAGCGCATGTGTGTAGTATTCTGTACGATGAAGAAGAGGTGGAAGAGGTATTTTTTTTCCTCTTAAACAGCTCCTAAGGCTACATCCAGCTGTTGTAGTATTGCCTTGAATGCAAGCAGTGCTCAGGTTACGTGTGCATCTGTGGCCAGGCGTAGCGCCGGATGTTGCTTAAAAGTTTGAAAGCAAAACCCAGCCCTGTGGCCACAGGCAGACTGCAGATCAGAGAGAGAGGTTAAATTGCTCATATTTCTGGGTAGGTATAAAAATAGCTTCGCCCTCCCTCCCTCTTCAGGCTAATGGTTCTGGGAGAAGAGAGCTGCATGGTCTCACCAGCAAAGACCACGCGACCCTCTGGGGCAGAGGTTGTTTTCCAAAGACCCGGGTACCTGCACAGCTGATGTAGGTCAGGCAGTGAATTGAGCCGGGTTCTGCCTCCTGCGGGGCTGTGTCTGCGTGTGTGTGTGTGTGTCGTCAGTAGGGCCAGCTGCTTAGGTGGGAAACAGCTGGTGTGGGAATGGGGAAGGATGGGAAGTGCAAGTCCAGAGAAGGAACTGCATGAAATGTAGAATGGGAATGAAAGAGCTAATTTTCTAGCAAACAGGTAAATAAGCAAATGCTAACAGCGCTGTTTGATGTTAAACGTAGCCAAGAAAATTCGGGACAAAGGTGAATCTGGTGCTGTGCATCTAAACGTGTTCAAAAATATCTTTGGATTTGTGTGCCAGTGTTGAAAGACTTTGTGTATGCTGGGAACCCCTTCTCCCTCCCTAATTTTTGCATTATTTCCTCTCCAAAAGAAATGTTATTTAGCATGTGACTGCAAAAATACAACTTTACCGCGGGGGAGGCCATTTTGAAAGCATGGGAGCTAAATGTTCTGCAAAAGTTTATTTTTAATATACTACTTTTCAAGACACTTGCGACTAGAAAAAAGTCAAGATTGTGAGATTTGAATCCAAATTTATGTTTAGCACTGCTAAAATAGCCCCTTTCAAAGTGGGACTGTTGTCTGCCATGTTTCTATATAAGTCTAAGCTTTCTCCTGAGCACCTGATAATAGTGTTTAAGGAAATCTGTTATTCCTGTAAAAAGGCAAAATGTAACATGCTAACAGGTTATATGTGCTGGAGCGTTTGCTGTTGCAAGAACACGTGTATCTCTCCATGTTGTGTACCATGACAAAACGCGGATGCAAACGGCAGTGATGTGCTGGGTTGCTGTTTACCTGTGGCGAGTCCCCACTAAAGAGGTGCGAACCTCCAAGGGATGTAGGAGGCATCTTCACCTCTTTCGCCTCCGCAGAACCGGGAAGCGCGATACATTCAACATCCCCAAGTGATGAGATGGCAGGCTGCTGAGCAGCCTCTGGGCCACAGCCTTGGTTCAGAGCAGCACCATGAGACCTCTTTACGTGTTCACAAAGTAGATTTTTCTAGCAAACGTTGAGACTTGCCAGCAAATGGCTGCTGCTGATCTCCGTAGTTTTGCCCCTGTTGGAAGGGGGAAGGCAGGAAAGGGCAGGCTTCTCCCAGACTTGTCCAGCTGAAACATGGTCAGTGCCTCCCAGGATAAAGGTCCCTGGCTGGGGAGAGAAATGCTGGCTCTCTTGGCTTCTCCCTTTCTCCTGGTGGTCAAATTACCTATTAAACTATGACCTGGTCTCTAAAGCCTGGAGGAGAAGACTTCTTGTTGGTCACCACATATGAACGTTCCAAGAGGGGCACTGAAGGATGCCCAGAGAAGTGAAGTGGGACAGAAGCAGGGAAAGCAAAGGAAGACATGACTTCGAAGATACCTAGGAGTGACTGATGCCTCAAGGAGGATAAGAATGCAGAGCTGGTCCTCAGGTTTGGCTAGGAAATGGTTGTCAGTGGGCTTGACAAAGGCTGTTTGGGTGGAGGGTAACAGTGAAGGATGTGCCCTGTGTAATAACAGTAGGTAAAGCATTCAGTGAGCAGTGGACTGGTGTTAGGTTTTGAGGGTTGTTCAGAGAAACAGATGCCTTGACCTGTACTGGTCAGACTCTCATGGGAGCAACATGAGGTTGTTACATATGTGCTTCATGAACCAAATGTTTCTGTGCCTCTGGTTTGAATTTTTGGGGAAGCTTCACAAAAGAATTTCACAGTTTTCACTGTCAGTAAAGCTCAGTGGCGAGAGAGAATATACTGTTCTCAAATGGCAAAGTATTTATACTTTCTATAAATTGTTCTCATAGTTCAAAGTTTATTAAAGTGCTGTTTTTCAGGAATAGCTGCACTTACAGTATAACAAACATACTTGAAAGGTTTCATTCTTCTGGTTGTAGATGGATGGTGATAGCTCCACAACGGATGCTTCTCAGTTAGGAATTGCTGGAGATTACATTGGTGGCAGTCACTATGTGATACAGCCTCATGATGGTAAGAAATGTAACAGTAAATACTACTATTTCTCTATGTGTCTCTGTGTGTATATATATTTCCTTCCAGTTCGCGTGCAGTTCTCTGCTATCTTCTGTCAAGCTAAGAATTTGCAATTGTTTGTATTCATAATGCCTCACTGTATAAAGCACTTTTTCTGCAGTCTGAAGCTAGAGGTTGGATTTTTCAATGTTGACAGAATCCTTCAGGGTGATGACAAAAAAATTCATGTTCTAGGAAACTGTTTTTGTTTTGACACGACATTAAGAATACTTGGTGTTCAGCAGCCACGTACATTTCTGTACATAGTATTATAAAGATGATATCGAGCACCCATAAAAGTAGCCTGGTTTTACATCTATTTTTAAATTTGTTTCTACAATGTTAATGCACTGTGCTTTCAAAGGTCTTCATCCGTCAGTGTAAGATTTTTAAACTGAATTAATTATTGCCTGCTGTCTATCAAATACAATATCTGTTAACTTTTCTTTATTTCATTAGACACAGAGGACAGCATGAATGATCACGAAGATACAAATGGCTCAAAAGAGAGTTTTAGAGAACAAGATATATATCTTCCAATTGCAAATGTGGCAAGGATAATGAAAAATGCTATACCCCAAACAGGAAAGGTAATACCCTTGTCTGGTAAAGAAAGTGTGCTAATGGGTTTTATTCCTTCCTCTGAGTGAACTTGAACTGGTAGGACAATATATTTTTCAAAATGATCCTGGTTTATTGGAGGAAAGCAAAAGCAAAGCAAAGAAAATCCGAGCCGGAGGTGATTGAGACCATGTCCATTTTTCTTAGGTTTCTGAAAGCTTTTAGTAACTGCTGTAATTACAGTATCCAGAACAGTGCTCTTCATAGGACTTTCAAGAGATTTCTTTTTCTAAGATGTGTTCTCTGAAATTGTCATAACGGGTCCGACTTGGTGACAATCTCATATCAGTATTAAAATTTTCTATGCAATTCTGTCTTATAAAATTTAATCTGCTTTTATTGAGGTGCATAAAATTTGGAATAAGTGAACCATTTTAGATGAAATAAAAATCCAGTCCTCATCCTGAAGGGAAGGGAATAGTTAGTCTTCCATTGCCCAGATGTTTACATATCCAAATGCCAAAATGACCCAAGAAGTCTGCTTTATACCATGTAGCAGATAAGGCCAGATATTGAAAGACTTATTTCTTACTTCTAAGAACAGAGTTTTTAATCCATTCTGCTGAGCTGGTGATTGTATAAGCGTTTGACCATGCTACCTGTTTATCTTAAACCTTTGCAGAGCTCCTATTACTTACTATTTCTCTATTGTGTTCCAATACAATTCCTGCCCCAGTAACATTTCCTCTAGCTAAAGTTGATTTTTTTTTTTTTTTTTGAGATCACTCTAAGTAGAGGCAAGACATAATTTCCTTGCATCTGCTTGTACTTTCATAGTGTTCAGGGCTTTATGGAGATCTGGGTGTTACATTTATATCTTTGCTGTGAAAATCTCTTCACTACTACATACTGTCATAAATTTGTAGTGATCGAGATGAGATTTTTCTCAAGAATTTAGCATATGGGATGTCAAGATATCCTGAAAAATCAGGGAGGTTTTTGTGAAAAACTTCAAGGGAAGCTGCCGGTGGTTGAGTACTTCTGAAAATCTTGCCCTATGTGTCTGAATATATCAGAGGAACTAGTGAAGATTCTACATATAGTTACTGCTTTTTTTTTTTAAATATGTAGACAGATTCTTCTCATGTGAAGAATAAAATTCTTAATTATTATAATCTTTCAGTTGGCTCCTGTCAGCTTCCCAAATAATCATGAGTAATGCTTTCTGTTATTTTAAGTCAGGTAAATTACTTTTTGTCCAGCTGAAAACCGTAATCAAATTTACTTATTTCATTCTTGCCAGGGGCATATGTTTCTTTATTTGAATTCTCATTTGGAAAACTTATACCAGAATATTAAAGCATTAGAGAGGCTTGCTGCTAGGCATACATTCTAGTCCCTGCATCTGGTCGGAATACAAATACTTGTCATTACTGAATTTGTGGGCATGTACTGCAGTGGGGTTGGAACTGCTGGGTCTGTTAAAAGGAAGATGGAAGTGGGCTATGACATTGCAATGAACAGGTTTAAAGAGAAGGCATAGGTAAGCAATACTGAGATGCATCTATATGTAAAAGCTTGTACAGAACATAGTTATGACTTCAGGAGATCCTGACAGTTGGCTGTGTTATTTGAAATAGTAAAACTTAGGTTAAAATCATGTTGCAGCTGTGCTTAAAAAGAGCAGTGATGACATCCAGTGGTTCCCTCATACAGATGTTGCCTAAATGGCACTTCCATCAGGTTTTGGGATGTTTCCTTTATTCTTTTGGTTTTTACTTTTTTTTTTTTTTAAATCTTCGTGTCTTGATTAATCATTTTATGATACTTTTTCCTTATTAGATTGCTAAGGACGCAAAGGAATGCGTGCAAGAGTGTGTAAGTGAGTTTATCAGCTTTATAACATCAGAAGCAAGTGAAAGATGTCACCAAGAGAAAAGAAAGACCATCAATGGAGAGGATATTCTCTTTGCCATGTCTACCTTGGGGTTTGATAGCTATGTAGAACCTTTGAAGTTATACCTCCAAAAATTCAGAGAGGTTGGTATATACTTCAGTATTTCCTCATTTATTTATTCTGATTGTGTTTATCCTTATGTTGCTGTCATTGTAATTGTATAATGGCTAACTTGCACAGTATCTCTCAGCTGTTGTCAGGGACTAATGTAGTGTTTAAAAGCATTCCTGTGGATATCAAGAGAAAAAGGAGTAAGTAAGCATTTTGATTAGACTTGCTGATTCACAGTAGTTAAAGCTTTCAACTGAATAAATTCTCTAATATATTGCTGGTAGTAAATCCCTCTATTCTTTAAAGGTGCCTATTAAGAATACTTAATTTGATCTTTGGGTTCAATCAATAAAACTGTACTAGACTGCATCCTCTGAGGAACTAGCCTAATGCCTATTGTTTGTCTGGGCTTCAGATCGGCAAAAGAAAAAGTTGTTTTTGTCATGTCAGAATAATGACTCACATGGAAGCCTGCCTGCCTCAATGTTGTGGGGTTTTTGGTTTGGGTTTTTAAATCTGTTTTTTAGCCTGTCCCTCAGTTTGCTTTTGACACATACTACACACTAGATATGTGATCCAAGCAGTTTAATTTATCCCTTCTGTAGCAGAAAGTGACTTTTTTTTTTTTTTTTCCTCAGCAATTTAAAGTTTTTTAAAAAGAAGTTGCTTCTGCTTGGGTTTTTTGTTCTGGTCCCCCGTTCCCCTGCCTCCTGTCTGGAGACCAAAGAGAATTATGCTTGCTTGCTTCTTTACTTTGGTGTTCTTTCACCTCAGAATACCAAATTTAACCAAACAGATCAAAGGTATTTTTATTCAGTGACCTCTCTTCCTCATAGTCCTGAATGAAGAAGTTGTTCAGGGTTAAAATAATCCTGGGAAAAAAACTCAAAGCAATTTTTTTTTTTTTTAAATGTGGATCTATCTGTTGGGGTGGCTGCTTGGTTTTATTGGCATGAGTGAAGCAGGTATGTCTAAATTGGCAGTGCTGTAGATATTGATGCTCTTCAGACTTTCTTTGTTCTGTAAACCTAAGTTTTTCAATTAATGGGGTCAGACTTGCTAGTGATGTTTAATTTGCTGATAGCACTTGAAGTTTCCCCTTCCCAGAAGGTTGTTTCCTGTGGTAACTGTGTAACAGGAGGTGTAATCTAAAAGTTGACATATTACTGTGTGCTATCTTTTTCCAGTTCTGTGTAGCAGTTGCACATGCTGTCAAAGTGCTGTATGGGCTTTAATTAAAAATGCAAGTAGTGCCTATCTAGTTTCAGTACTTCTGGGGAAGTCTGAAGTGGGTCTGTGCTACTACGCTAATGAAATTCTGAAGCAACCATTTTTGCATATACATGTGTTTTGGTAGCAGAGTAGGGGATTGGGTTTTAATTGGATGGATAGATTGGGTGGTTTTGCTCATCAGTTTTAAACTTCCATTCCAGCTAGTTCTCTCTGCAGAGTACTGTATATAGTGAAATATTTCTGTTTTGTAGCTTAGTGATTAGTCTGCATTGAGCAGTTGCAGCGAATACCTTTTTATACCTATATTATTTTCTTAGATGTTCTTAAGTAATAGCCTAGAGCATCAAACTTGATACTTGTAAAACTGCATGCAGATGACTGGGAGTCTTGGCTTTCTGTGCTGATATCCTTTCTGGCTGTAGTCATTGATGTGGGAAGAGAAATCCAATATCTTGATTTTAAGTATCAGCTCTTAGTTATATGATGAAGGCACTTGTGTGTGGTTGGTAAGCAAACGTTGCACATTCTTGGTAGTTCTCAGATTCTGTGATTTCTTTATAAATGCTCTTAACTGCTCCTTCTGGATTACTGCAGATCTTTGACTTTCTGCAGAAGGTGAAGGCCTTTCTTAGAACTACACAATCCTAGTTTGCAGAGTGTTTCTGAGGAGTATGTCTAAGATGAAAAACACCCTTCTTGTACTATGTACTATTCTTAAAGCCCATAGAGTTTTACAGGTCTTGGATTTCAAACTCCAGCTGCTGCACAGTGACTCTTCTGCAAATTCCAAAATTTGGCTAGAGCTCCTGGGGCCTTGAAACAACCTCAAGCCAACTCTACTCTAACACAAATTCTTTCTCTCCCCC